TAACAACATATTTATATGTCAAATGTGTTGTCTAAGCGTCAATTTTTTGTAGTATAAAATACAACAAAAATAAATTAAAAATTACATAACGTTACGTTTAACAATTGAACTATTTTATTAGTTGTACGAATTAAATAGTTCAATTAGTCCCTTAGGGGAAAAGTAAAGCTCTAGTGTGGGATTCTACTTACTTCAATACTTTGGCAGCCTCTCATCTCAGAGGTAGCTCGTTTAGAGCCGGGGCGGCATCAGAGACAGTTGAACTAAGTAAGTGTCGCAAATATGAGTCTAAATGATGAACTACATATTCGTGTCAATTGCTGTAGAGACTATCGGTCCGTGGGGTTCACGTGCGGTGAAGTTCCTATAGGACCTCTATCGGCGACTAGTCGCCGCTGCTGGTGAAAAGAGCGCTAGCCATTCGGCGAGGAAAAGCTGCTAGCGTTCTTCGACTGCATTCTAATTTAAGTTATTAGTTTTAGTTTTTTTATTATAGTTTTTTAATATTGTATACTTTTCAATAATTTATGTCATGGATAACTTTAACATGACTATTGAAAAGTCGACGCTTAATCACATTATTTCTTATTGTTTTTACAAAGCTTGGTAGGTCTATTGTTTAATGTATGCTTTCCCCATATATTGCCTCATATGGGAACAAATTCACGTTAGTAATACTATTCTTTTATATGCAGATTATGTATAAGTAATACTTCGTCAAATTTCAACAAGTTATATATGTATCAGCTGACAGATGAAACATTATACTGGGTGTTTCGGTCCCGCGAGTTTGCTCCAATTCATCGTGTCATTTGACATACCTTTCTCATTTTACGTCCACTGAATCAGTCATGGAAGAATGACATAATAACACAAAATAGTTAACAATGAAACCCTTAAAATCATTAGTTATAAATATAAATTGTATTCTAATTTGAATTTTACTTCATTTTATAAAATTTTGTTACGTGTAGTATAAATATATTTCCAAAAGTTATTATAAACAATAGTTTTTGTTTCTTAATAGTTAAAAAATGGCGACAGGTATATTTATTGTAACTTAATTTTAAGCTTTTAAACAGTGTATTTAATAAAGATGGAAAAGCTGATCAGTATAACAATACTCAGTTTGACTATCGCTTTCTTTATCAAAAATAAACCTAAAGGGACATTTTAAAAATGCGGTGACAAATTTGGAGCGAAATGGTCTGTATCATAGAATACTTTAATATGTATTATAGTATTCTATACTACATATAATGTAATATAATGTAAAATGTAATACTATAATATGTATTATAGTATTCTATGGTCTGTATAGTAGATATAATTATTCTTGTACCGATTTATGTATTTGTCTTTATAGGTAATATTTATATAAGTATGAGAATTACGTGATGTTCGATAAAACAGTGCGTGACTAGTATGCCCTGATTTAATGCGGGATTTAAACACGAAGTTGTATACGTGGTAGAGCCACGCTGCAGCTATATTATGGTAGTAGTACGATTGGGTCGACTCGACTGGGGATGGACCACGCTCTCTCAAAAGACTGGCGTAAAATGGTAGCATATTGCTGTTGGGTTGCATATGGTATAGATAACTGGAGACCAAGGGGCGTAGCTACCGCCGTATCAGCCGTATCAATGATACGGGGCCCCCAGGCTACAGGGGCCTCCAACGTGTGATCAAAAATTCGTAAAATGTTATCCACAAATCCACTTGAACTCTTAGGTCGCACTGCCGAAAAAAAATCTTATCATCAAATAGTTCCCAAGTTCCCAACGTGCAACTACAAAAATTGTCCAATTTTCTGTAGTTTTTCGATACATTTCGATAACAGAAAATTATGATAATGTATTTGAAGAAATAATAATCTTTATTGTTAAACGTATTACAAGCACAAAATTTACGTCAGTTATTAGTCCCTAAGCTGAAAACTTCTACCTACTTTCAGGGGCTAAATTAATAGTTGCCTAGACGGGGTGCATAATCGGAATTCATTATTTTTCTTTCGATTTTCTTCCTCTGCTGTGTACAGTATTTTATAGAAATATGATAAAAACTGGCCCAAGATACTTAGTAGACATTATCAATAAACATTTGTACATATTTTTTGTTTGAAAGTTCAACGCCGAAATAAAAGAAGTACCTCACAGAATTACAAAGTCATTGAAATCTTGGTATAAAATAATTTAAAATGAAGACAAACATTCATTACTAACGTTTTTTGGAATTCTTGCAAAATACGTACCAGTTCTTCGATAAAACATCTGTTGTAGCAAAGTAATTTAGAATACAATTGCAAATGTACATTTAAAGAGACGAATTTAGCCAGGATATTAAATTACGTCTGCTCAATAATGAAATTAGTGTAAATAACTGCGTGGAATAATTGCAAAATTTATAAATTACGCAATAATATTATTTAAAACGAGGCAGTTTAATTAGAATTAATTTTATTTTTATTTTGCAATACGTAATGCATGGACTGTACCGGTGTAACGGCTGTAGCGGTGACGGTAACGGCAATATGTAATATGTTTTTGATTAAATTTTTGGTTATTAAAAATTAATTTATAATTATATAATATAAGTGTATGTATTAAACTGTACTTGGGGTAAAAAGACGGAAGAAAAAATAAAAGTGGACTCCGATTATCAACCCCCGTCTGGGATGGATATGAATGAATACGCGTTTGCGGAATCTACTCTAGGCAACTCTAGGGTTAGGGATTTTTTAGGGTTGACAAACGGAATAACCCAAAAATTATACTTTTTTTAGCAGTAGTATAAAGTGCTTGTCAATTCTGAGTTATGACTAACGATTCATCTAAAAATATAAAATTACCCTTAAAAAGGTGTCTTAGGTCTTCAACAAATGACGCTTTATCAGCTATAAGGAAACATTATCAGCTATAAGGAAATATTATTTTTAATGACTTATATTAATAATGAAAACATTGTAACAACTAAATTTAATTTCCACTAAAAAGACAAACCCTTTTACTTCACGATTTGAAATTTCAATTCAATTTTAATTCAATTGTTTTTCTGTCTGCCAAAATTAGTGAATCCAACAAAGAAATTCAACACATTTTAAAGTTTTATTACAAAAAAGGATGCAACTCACTCTGGTCACCTTCATACGAATAATATAGATGCCTTTTTTGAAAAAGTGGAGGAAGTAGTTCTTTACAACATAGCCGAAGAATTGAAGATTGACCACAAAACAGTTTTGAGCCATTTGAGAGTTTGGCAATACAAAAAAGTTCGATATTTAGGTATCACACGAGCTCACTGAAAGAGACCTAAGGAATTGTGGACTTATTTTCAATTCTCTATTGAAACGTAATAAAAGTGAACTTATTTGCAAAGCTTAATCACTGACGGTATGTGTGGATTACTTGCGACAAGATCGTACGAAAAAGATCATTGTTAAATGGTAGCCTAGCCCACAGACGGTAGTGAAACCCGGATTGACACGCAACAAAGTGATGCTTTGTGTACGGTGGGATAAGAAGGGCATCGTTTATTACGAGCTTTATAGCTGGGCAAAACCATTGATTTGGATCTCTACTACCAACAACTTGTTGGACTCAAGCAAAAAATCGAGAAAAAATGACCGGAATAAATCATCAGAAAAGGAGTGGCCTTTCATCATGATAACGCCAGACCACACAATATTTAGCCACTCAAAACACATTGAGAACGTTTGGTTGGGCAGTGTTAATGCATCCACCGTTAGCCCATGATCGATGCATCCACCGTTAGTGATCGATGCATCCACCGTTAGTGATCGATGCATCCACCATATAGTCCTTAACTTGCACCTTCAGATTTTCACCTGTTTCGGTCACTTCAGAATTCTTCGGGTAGTGTTAGGGTAATATCAAGAGAGGACTGTCAAAACTACTTGTCGCATTTTTTGATCAAAATCCCAAAATTTCTATAACAACGGGATTATGTCATCTACCTACAAGATGGCAAGAAGTTATCGAACAAAATAGCCCATACTCTTATATTTGTTATATTTAAATGTAATGAAGCTTTGAAAAAAAATTGTGTATATGAAATACGAAGAAACTTTTTCCGCGACCTATTAAGTTCGCCGAACTAGATAAGAAAAGCTTATATTAGATTTGAATTGTTTGGCTAGCTTAGTTACTTGTAGCGTTAATAGTAATTATTAACCTATAATCAATATATAATTTTTTCAATTCAATGCGAGCTGTTTCGGGCCTTTCGTTGGGCCCCACAACAAATTTTGATACAGGGCCCTATGGCACGCTACGCCACTGTGGAGACCCTTTTTATTTTAAGGTCCCTTCTTGGTTCTAAGAGGTAACAACTGATCTACATTTTGATTCTTAATCAAGGATAAATGTAGATATCTATGGGGCACAATATTTTCATTCCATCGGTTCTACTGTGGGCTTGTTTTTTTGCCCCCATTTTATAAAGAAATTAACTGTAAAATGTCCTTAATTGTGATAAGTTATTAAGTAAAACGAGAAATAATTAAAAATAATATAGTATTTTAAATATTAACTTTATTTATTTTTTCTTTCAGATCAATCAATCCTCGGGCAACGGCGACTTGTCATAAAGATCATGGCATACACATTCAAGAATATTGTCAACGCTGCTGAAATTCTAACGTACTGAGTTCTTGTCACATAGTGCACGGGGTTAGGGTGAATAATGGGAAAAAGACACGTCCGGATCAAATTCGCACATTCTATTGGTCCGCCTATTGATTTAGACAAGTTGAGCTGGTCTGAGTAGCACCCCAACCCACACCCCTCATTTACGCATTATCAGTTACCGACGCTCTAGCGACTGCCAATAAAGTACAAGTCATAATCGGGTTATACGTTATTCAATTATTTAAAATTAGATTTATTTATTTTAGTACAAAAAATAATAAATACAGCGAGTAAGTTGATTTTATCAAAGAAACCGAGCTGTCGTCCTCGGTTAAAATTTAAACGGTAGTCATGACGGCGACTGCACCAGAACTGTCTAAGTCAGATTTCTTCGATTTCGTAACCTCCAACGAATTTACAGATGCACAGTATAAACAACAAATGCGTTCCGTAAACGTTTTCATGGAATCACCAGATTCGAGGTCGAATCCTTTATTGTCTGAAGAACCTAAGGAACAGAATAACAATAACTTACTGAGTGTAACAGGAGGACACTCTACAGTAAATAACATGGCTACGGCTACAACTTCTAACGCGTTACAAAGTTTTGACTCTATTTGGAACGTTGATCGCGATCGAGATCGCTTAGAAACAGCAATGCTGGAAGATCTTAATAAATTTTACTGGAATCAAGATAGTGAAATAAGTAGAACGCACCCTTGCACTGACACTGCCATCTCTAACAAACTTATTAGTAACAACACGGATGGGCAAATTTATACTCTAACCGTTCTAAATCAAGATATGGTTGAACCAAATCCAAATCGTTATTGGGGAAAAGAAGAAGATGTCTCTATGTCAAGTCCAACTGATATAGAACAACAATCTTCGTTAGATCTCGAGTCAATATTAAATATGAACGGCTTTCCAAATGATTTCAATCAAGACGCTTTGAGTGCTAATATACTTCCAAAAGTTGAAAACTTTAATTATGAAGACGGTGAATCAGAAAATCAAAGTGTTGATATGAGTACAAGTAATATGGTTAAAGTTGAACCATATAATTACGATGAAAATGACTTTCAAAGTAATGATAAGAAAGATGATTCATGTAGTTCTATAATTGGTACACAGAATATATTAGATAGTCAAACGGAATTCAATAATAATAATAATGACTGGAAACTTACAGATCAAAACACGGAATCTAATGAATCTCTACTTAGAAGTGCCCTTCAAGGCAAAGCTTTTATTAGATATAGTGCCGTACAAAAGGCCAATATATCAAAACTTGACGCAGAGACAGAGTTGAAAAGGGTTATCATAAACAACAATAATAAAGCTGACGTACCTTCAATGTACCAAGATAATAAGGAAAGTGAAACTGAACTTTTGATGGCAATTGCACCGCAAAATGGAAACGTCAATATTTCTATATTACTAGAGGATCCAAGTACAACTGTTATTTCTAACGGAGAAAATCCTACATCTACACACAGCGTCGATGACATTCTTCTTTCACAATTGGATGCTAATTACCCTGATGATTACGAAAAGTTAAAAAGAATAGCAACCGAGTTAGGTGAATCAGTGCAGCCATTTTGCACTGTTGAACCTATTGATCCGGCACGGAGTGTTTACAATATACACCATGTTAATGGAGAATTAGTAACAATGATACCTGCTAGTGAAGTGCAACTATCCCAACACTTACAAATCGTTACAACGTCACCCACTGTAACAAGCACGAAATCTGTAAGTAAAAAATATAAAAGGGTTCATAATAAGAATTCTCCGCCAGCAACACAATCGCAATCAGGGACTGCAATTCAAGCAGCCACCTCAACGTCAAATGGCGTTAGAAAAGAAAGGTCTCTTCATTATTGTTCGATTTGTTCAAAAGGCTTCAAAGATAAATACTCTGTAAATGTCCACGTTAGAACACATACAGGCGAAAAACCGTTCTCCTGCTCTCTATGTGGTAAGAGCTTTCGACAAAAAGCGCACTTGGCAAAGCATTATCAAACACATATTGCTCAGAAGAGTGCCGCTGCCAATGGCGCTGCAAAACCGAGTAAACAGAGGTAACCGTACCACCTTCGTTAAAGTTTAGTTTATCCACAAACATAGTCAAAATAACTTTGTTACAGTGCAAGTGTATTCTCTAAATTAATATGTAAAGGCTGACATATAAGATGAATTGGTAAGGTGCTAAATAAACTAGTAGTTATGTAGAATATGAGGTAGTTGTGAATTGTGAAACATTTATTGGGTTCATGACTATAAGATACTTGTTAATTTGTACGTAATTCCGTCCGTTACCGAATACTTTTAGCTTTAGCTAGTTTAGCTAAAACATGTACTATTAAGTAATGTTAGTTATGATATGTTATTTTATCTCTATTCCATACATTCTTTAGGGTCATTTAGTTGAAAAATCAGAATAACCATATTTTGTAGTCTATTTTTGTACACGTTTATCTGCTCAAATAATTGCCAATTACGTTTCTATGCAAGCGACCATTATTTTAAACCAATAATACTCAAAAATATATCTTAGTTGAATGCTTATAAACATAACTTTTAATAATGTGTTTTACTTTTTTTATTTTTTTACATTCAGTCGCCTGTGCAACTTTAGGATTGCCTAGAGCTAGCCGCTGCCGTAGTTTCACCCGCAAAGCGACCGACTAAAACTTTCTAAAAAATATTACAAAAAAACAGAGCAAAAGAAAGATCAGGCATTAAGTACCCACCATCTTTCACTGCCCGAATATCGTACCTATACATATTATACTTAGGTCAATATAACGCTTTATTTTTTTCTAAACTTTAAAAAATTGTCTGTATTTTATCATTTAATGATTAAAGCAGCGAATTTAGATATTTTTTACAACTAGTAGACAAAGTGCTTACAGTGAAGGGTACTTCACTCGTATTATTACATCTTTCATTTATAGAAGTGGTATGATTGCTCCCAGATTACTATAAAATTGAAACAGAGAAGTGCGGTGTTTAAAATAGTGCTCCCTTTCTCGTCTTACAAATTGGCCTTTCTTTGTTTATCGGTCCAATGTTGCTATTAAATTTCACCTACGTATTCTTTAAAGCAACTGTTTGTATATAGCTACATCAATTAGTTCAATTATATTGTAACTTTAATTTTCCATGCTTCTTCATTTTTGCAATCATGTGGCAAGCGTATTTATAAAATTTGAAATGTATTAAGCTTTTCACATTATATTTAAAGTAAGTATATATAATACCAGTAATATATTGACTCTCAAAATAGAATCAAATATGAGAACACTTTTTTACCAGTAACCTATTAATTATACAAGCGTTGAGCCCTAACAGAGCGTTAGCAAATTGAGCAATAAAGATTACGGATTATGGAAATATTAAATTACCAACAGAGCTCTCTAATACTTCTAAACTTAATTAAAAATAAACCCTTTACGTACGACTTCTTATTACTGAACGTTAAAAATAAATTAAAAGGTAAACAATAATTAAACAAAACGACGGTTGACATATTTTTAAGTTCGTTTGAAGTAATTATGTACTGTGTACTGGTCGATATGGTACGGTTTCTTTGCCCCAAAAACAATGCTTACTGTTAAACAAATTTGTAATTGGTCAGACCAATTAATTACAGAATAGAGAAATCATGTACACTTAACAACAAAATCAAAATTCTTAAAAAATTTTTTAACTATATTTTGTTATCAAATAAAATATTGTTTCCTCGTCTTATAGGCAAAATATACAAAACAAATATTGATCTTATTTCTAGTAAAATTATTAGATGCCTGTCAATATTTTTTATTTTATCTTGCCAATCTTTTTATAACATGTATTGCTAGTATTTTAGATAATCAAACACTGCCTTTCCGTCTGATTTAGGACTGTGCTTTAAGTGCTAAGTATTTTAGCACTGTAAAATAGGAGAGATTTGACTAACTAATGTTGGCGTTAGTTAGGCAAATCATTAACAATGAGTAAATGTACATATCAGGGAAACAATTATAGGGTAAAAATTATCGCTAATTAATAGAGAATAATAATACTAAGTTTGTGATATATTCTAATATATAATAATATTAATTCAATCATTTATGATTGAATTACATATTGTTAATGGAATATATGATAATGGAAAAGTATTGGCGAAGTAAATGTAAAATTAATGTTCACATCAAGAACATTTATTCTCTTTCTATTGTGAAATTGCTAGAAAATAACTATTGTCAGTTTTTACTATTATCAACGTTATTTGAGGTAGATAAGAGCTTTAGAGATTTTTTTTAACAATACTCATTATTTGTAAATATGTATAACGGAGAGATTTTAAGAAAACCTACATTGTCACGTAAATTTATACTCTACTACTTGTATCTCATTAGATCGTATTTTGAAAAGTTAGCGAATTTATAGATTTTATAAGTTATAAGAATTTTTGAGAGATTTACCAATTAGTTTTAAGAAAATATGGCTACTTTTATATGATATGCGTTTGCATAAAATGGTTGTTAATATACTCCTGTAATATATTAAGTTATGTTGGTATTTAGAACTTATTTCAAAAGAAGGATTTATTAATATTGATTGATTTATTATTGCATTTGTTCCTGAGTTGATTATTAGATTTTATTGATTGTAATGTGTCGTTTTAAGATTTAAGATTATATGAGTAATGCAAGCATTAGTAATTTAACTTTCGCGTATACCCTGTATAGATTTAAGGACGACGTGGATAACACTGAATTATTTAGAATTTGGCGTTGTGAAAGTAAAAATATTGTAAATATTTTCTATTTATTATGGGGTTTTAACAGTTGCTCAATACTTAAATGGCTGAAATGTTGAGTTAAATTGTCCACTTCATCCTTAAACTGAGACCGTCCTGTACAATATTTTCATTATTTATTTATAATTTTATGGTTAAGATGACAAAAGAAAACAAAAAAGTTATTTTATTTTGATTAACCCGAGCTGTGATTTTGCTTACGTTTATCTATACACACAGTGTCAATTGAAATGTATCGAATTACACGCCATAGTGTTATAGTGCTCCGTTAGTTGACACTGCTCCTGAAACACTAAGTTAATTTGTTGCGTTTCATGCGATACTTTTGCTATTTTTAATTGAAAAATATAATTATACATACACTTACAGGTATCATTATACAAGGGGCACTTTAAAATGTTTTATAGAAATCGATAAAAATCATTACGATGCAAATATAAATTAAAATAATAGTTTATTTATAAAAGTCAGACAACAATGTGAATGATACACAACCACATGATTTATTAATAATGGATTAATTGTCATAATAGTGAAACCTTTGGGAGCGGGACAGACCGCCTGCGTTAGCAGCACGTGTGTCTAAGGTGTGCGTTGCGTTGAGGTATCTGGTACCATACACGAAGCCGTCCTGGATCCGCTCTTCACGGGAAAAATAGTTACTGTACACCTTTATAGTATTTGCGCAACTTATGCAAAAGTATCACTTGATGAGGATGACTTAGTTGCCTGTCAGATTCAATCTGGTCACACTTATCAGTATCAGATACATAAAATAAGTTTCGTAACATGTAATGAATTTAGATACCATAATTTTTACATCGTTTACAGTTTTGTATTGATTTTTTTTATATTTTTTACTTTCTAACTTAAGTTTGCTAATAAAATGTTTTTTAATAATAATTCTATTTATTTTATTCCAGTTGGTGAATATTGCAAACTCACTTTGATAATGATTTATGTATTTGCATGTCCTTAAAAAAATTCGCTCCATATCTGTTGTATCATATCACAAACGGTTATAATTGTGTTTAATTATTATAATACAATCATACTGACTAATTGGTATTTAAATAGGAAATAAAAACCTTGGTAGCTAAGGACGCGAGCAACCCGGGTTCGATCCCCGCCGGTACCAATAAAATAGTTAATATGAATACAAAATTTCTAAGTGCTGATTTACAACGTGCTAGGCGCTGAAGGAAAACATCGTGAGGAAACCTGGATGTTTGGGAAATAAGTACAAATATTTCTAAGACATATGAAGTTCGCCAACACGCATGGAGCAACGCGGCGGACGTTTTCTTGTCCTTAAACCATCTCAAAAAAGAGAGGAGGCCTGTGCCCAGCTGTGGGACGTATATAGGCTGTTACTTTACTTTACTTTAAATAGAAGTTATTTTATTGTATATCAATGCTGAACATAAATCTTACCCTATTCCATCCTATACGGTTGGTATACGCATCTTTGGCGCTATTCAAAATATGCCTATGTTACATGAAACAAAAAAACCTCAAAGTAATAAAAAATCATTCATTAGACTTTCAAACTCTCAATACTTTTATTTTTTAGTTATTAAGTCGTTATACGAATGTATACATCATAAATATCTATAATTATATTTATTTTCCAAAACGCTAGAATGATTACACGATTTGCGATAGAGAGCGGTATCAGCACCTCGTTTATTTTACACCGGCGCCGGTCTGTATATTTTACGATCAGTAATTACTTACATTATTTTACGTATAGTATTTAACGTGTAGCATTTTACGTATAGTAAATTATATAGACCAGCTGCGGCGAGCAGTGTCCAAAGTTGCGAAACCTCTGATATTGCGAACGCAGATCCATTTGCCAAGTGTGGCCCGTTCCAGCATTGGGGATTTTTAAGGACTGATGAGAATGCCGGCTGACGATGATAATTAATTTAAATTAATTAAGGTTGTAACTTTACTTTAAGTTACATTCTATATACGTACCGCTGCTCGGTACAAGCCTCTTATCATTTCAGACAGGGCACAGACAAAGAAGGAAAGCGAAAGAAGTTCTGCGTACATTTCAAGTGACGCATTAGCCAATGAAAACCAAGATTAACTGCATCTAAAATAATTTGAAACCAACAACGTGCTTTTAGATGAATTCATGTTTTTTTTAAAGATGTGCGTCTAGCAGTGAGATATTATGGGCTGATAAAGAAAGAATGAAGAAGGATGTGTACATGGGTGCGTGTCAAGAAGTCGAGCATGGTTTTGGTATCATTTAAAACACGCAGCG